AATAGACTTTTTGGCAGTTGAAACGTTAGTAATAATGTTGCAACCACGTGTACTTCCCGTCAGAGGAGCATGTTCACTAAAGTGCCTTGTAATGACTTCCTAAAAGTACGTAGAAAGCTGTCACCGTACATGTCTACTCCGGCCTCACTTCCTATGAAATGTAAAAAAAAGCATTTAAAACTCAAGACTTTTATAAAACAGAACTGTTAATATATTATTAGATTTGAACTTTACTACAAAGGCGTATAAAGGTCATAGTCGCAAATCATTGACAAAGATTATGGCATTATATTTTAAGCAGTATCTATTCAAATCATCTCTTTAATATGGGGCGCACACTTTTGAGTAAACTATCGCACTACTGTTGTGCGATTGTCGATTGTTTCGCAGCCAATCCAACTTTTTAATCACACAACTAAAAAATTGAATAGTGTGCGCACCTCCATATAAGCTCATAGCTATCAAAGCGAGACTAAACATCTGTCCTTCCACTGCGTCTTCACTTAGCTTAGGTGGAATCGTGGTCAAGCGCTGGATTATTTATGTTAAAAAAAAAAACAGTTTTGCGCTAGTTTTCTAGTAACCTAGCTATAAATAATGGAATATAATTTTCAGTAGTGTCAATACTCTTGTTAAAAGAAATTGTTAAAAGACATTATTGTCGCAACTTCTAAGTAAGTTTTCCTCACGTAGGCGGGGCAAATGCTCTCAAACTGCAAAGTAGGGAGTCAGGAACAGCTTGTTGTAACACTTGCGGATAATATCCAGTAAACATTCTAATATTGTTCATATATTTTTCTACGTCACTACTACGACATAATTAAATTTTACGCTATAAACATATCACAGCAATTACCAATTATGAGTATTAAATCGTAAAGAATATGTTTAACATCCAATCATGGGAACCATATGGTTTTTCCATATTCTAGGAAAGAGTAGAAAAACTAAGAATAGGGAATGCAGTACCAGACTATTCTGTCATCTATGCCATCATCTAGATACATCGAAATAATGTCATATTATACAATAAAACTATCTTTAAGGAGAAAACCATTTTATCGTACATCACACAAAGAATTAGCCTTGGAGATGCCATCAAATGATATCTTCTCCACCTCCTTGGGGGTGGGGTTTAGTTAACCTTGCGAAATTCGTAACACCTCCGAGGGTAGCAGAGGGTGGTTTGTACGTGGGGCGAATAAATAACCGGTTGCTAGGCAACCAAGGGCGACAACCCCCCGACTGTTCGGCGCGGCGGGCTTTATACGTTTTTCTTGTTACAATATCTTTGTATTATTGGAGACGATAGTATTGGTGTTTTCTTTCATGGTACTATATTGACAATCAACATCGCAATAACATCTTACACTAATATTATAAATGCGAAAGTTTTGATGGATGGATGAATAGATGTTTGTTAGAGTTTGTAGTCTAAACGGCCAAATGAATTTCGATGAAATTTGGTATAGATGTAGAGGATAGTCTGGAAGAACACATAGGCTATTCACTTTTGTTTTTTTAATTCCACGCGGACGGAGTCGCGGGCGAAAGCTAGTCTAAAATACATACAACGTAGAGAAAACCAGCTTTAAAGACAAACTTGCTTTTGACCACGTCAGTGAGTAAATAAGTAGCCTATGTAATCTTCTAGACTGTGTTCTACATCATTGCCAAATTCCACCCAGATCCATGCAGATGTTCTGGAGATATCTAGTATAGAAACAAACATACATGTATTTAAACTTTCGCATTTATTAGTACGACATATTACCCGATATAATAAACTATACCTAATTAAGTTCATATTACGAGCGAACCTATAATATTTTTAGGTCTAAAGGTCACATTGAAGTAAAGTTTAACATGGGGATGACCTTTAAACTGTGACCTCTTTAATCAATACAGCGTTGTTTAGATCAGATGCAGGCTGTGTCGCGTAGATTAAATCAATATTTAATACATAAACTGTACATAGATTATTACATGACACCTGATTACCTGCTTTTAAATTTTTTAATAAACCTATACTAATAATACTAATACATTATAGAGAGGGAATATTTGTATTTTTGTATGTATTGAAATAACTCAAAAACTACTGGGCCGATTCTTAAAATTCTTTCACCGTTAGAAAGATAATTTATCTGTGAATAACATAGGGCATATTTTTTTAATTTCACGCTGGCGAAGTCATGAGCAACAGTTAGCTGAATATAAGCTAGCATAGGTACTTTATAAAATATGAAAAGAAATTAAAGTTCTGGCAGCTAGTACTATCAAACACTATTAAAACTTACTGTAAAGTATGACCAATTTTACAGAACTTCTATAAATACTTTAAAAATTTAAACTAGGATTAAGTTAACTTAACGTCGAATCGGTTTCAAGTTTATTACCGTAATAATGTTTAGCGTAGCTTAACTGGGGGTTACGTGGGGGGTAGAAGTTAGTGGACAGTGGAGGCAGTAAAACGTCCAAACACTATCAAATGTCTCATCGAGCATGTTTTATTGCATGACTCACTTTAGGAGGTCGTCATACGATGTAATTTTTAGTACAGTAAACCTTCCCTATAACGCGGTTGATGGTTTCACGTATAGAAATTTGCGTTTTTCATCAAGACAATATCATAAATGGTGTTATAGAGAGGTACTGCTTTTAAAAATTGTTAGAAACATCCGCGTTATAAGGGGTAATTTCCGCATTATTCGGAGATACGTTGTAAGGGGTTTACTGTATTTGTAATAAATAATTAAAATACTGAACTTAACTATAAATTTTATTGGTCTATAAATAGATACTTAACAATGACTGTTATATACATTACAAAAGCAAAAATGCAATATTATATTTCTATTGTTAGAAGAAACAATTGCCAACTGACGCTTGCATTTTACATTGAAATTTTCTATTTTTATTTATAAAGGACTAGCTTTCGCCCGCAACTCCGTCCGCGTGGAATTAAAAAAAAAACAAAAGCATGTAGCCTATGAGTTCTTCCAGACTGTGCTCTAGATCTATACCAAATTTCATCGAAATCCGTCCTGCCGTTTAGGCTACAAACTCTAACAAACATTCATCCATCCATCCATCCATCTAAACTTTCGCATTTATAATATTAGTAAGAAGTAAGATTCCTTTTTGTCTTCTCGCTCACAGAAATCACGCGGATTTCAGTCACATTTAACACAAGAGTCCAATTAATAAATAAAACCGTATTCTAAGACCCCTTAGCTCTAAACACCGTAATTAACACTTCCTTTAATGCTGGTAACAAAGAGATCATTACGCGACCGCACGACGCCGGTCGTAAACAAAAGCGCACTAACACAATTTCACAGCCCACAAAACACAGAACCTGTGCTCTAATCGATGCGTCTAGACACAGGGGCTGCTGAGACCCCAAACCTGCATTAATACCTCTAAATCACTGTATTTATTTTACTGGAGACTAGCAAAAAGGTTTTAGTTTTCAGCCAGCTGCAATAAAAAGTACAGCTTAAAAATTCCGCTCGGAACGAATATAAAGAGCATGAAATAAATTCCGCGTTTCCACGTTTATTTTTTTGGATTAGACAGCTTACCGTCTGCATTTTTCAGCGTACTGGTGCACATGAAATATATAATTTTTTTTAATAAAACAGTTGAGAATCTTAAGATTTAGGGCTTGTCCCACCACTGGCTAATAGAGGCTCAGATAGCTTTAAAATGACGTCACTGTTAGGTAAGGGAACAAAATCCGATATTCCCATCACATATTTTACACGTTAGATAACCGATATAGGCCCGAACGACAAACGTCATCTCTTTTCTCTATCACTAATTTTACGCATCTCTTTTACCAGCAATCATCTACATAATTTAACAACATACATTTAAAAATCTATACTAATATAAAAAAGATTTATATTTTTCAATCAATTCACGTAAAAACTACTGGGCCATTTTCAAAAATTCTTTCACCATTTAAAAGGTAATTTATGTGAGTAGCATTGGCTTTTTATTATCTTTTAAATTGACGCGGGCGAAGTCGCGAGCAAGTATGTAATATTTTTTGTAACAGAGTGTATTAATAGATGCAGCTTCTGGTCCGTAATGTAGTAATTACGCAACAGGGACAAAACTATCGATCCTCTCGCGTATACTAGATGCTTTTAACATCCCAGCGAGTCCCAAGAGCAACCCATTTAATGTGACTTTAAGTGCACCTCGGCGCACTTTGAATAATTATGCAATGACGTAATAAATTTTAATGTGAGTTTCCACTGCCGATAAAGTTATAAAAGATGAAATAGTTCATGAAGAGATCAATACCAGAAAGGGATAATAAAAAATTAACTACACTTTATTGTTGAAATTACAATCTGTTTTACGATTTTTGTGGGCTGTGACGTTATGAATCATAAAGACGAAATAAAGCTCTCCGGCAATTAATCTTACTAATATTATAAAGGCGAAAATTTAGATGGATGTTTGTTAGAGTTTATAGTCTAAACGGCTGAACGGATTTCGATTAAATTTGGTATAGATGTAGTGGATAGTCGGGAAGAACACATAGGCTACTTTTGTTTTTTTTTTTAATTCTACGCGGACGCAGTCGCGGGCGAAAGCTAGTATCTGAAATAAACCATGAAACACTAGGCGGTGTTTATTAGTTAAAAATAATGGCGAAATATAATTGAAATTGAAACGCAGTATATTGTTTAGACAACAAAATAGTTCGTGCCAAGAAAAATATAAAAGTAAATTAACGATAGAAATATTTCCAAGAAAACATTAGACAGGCGATTACTTTGAAGGCCTCGTGTATCTTTTAAATCCTTTTATCCCAGACAAAGATACATTCTCAAGGTCAAGGTCAAAGAAAAAGGACGATCGTTGTCTGCTAAAAAAAGAATTTTTGAATCTCTAACCAACACTATTATACCGCTCCATTTCTAATAGAAATTGTTATCCGACTAAATTAAAAACTACACTAAATATAAAAGAATACTCACATTCTGTAGGCGTTCAGAGTCTTCGACATTATAATTAGCTTCAACTAGAAGCTACAATCCATCTCACTACACACAACTTTACATCGACTATTTGTTTTTAATCACAATGAGAGAATTCATAAAAAAATCTTATAATACTGTAAAGTAAACACTAGAAAAACATGCCATTAGAAACTGACTAAACAAATAAATAAACACTCAATTACTTCGATATACAAACAGACAAACATCAAAAGTCTAAGACAAAGAAAGGAATTGATTACAAAACGACCATATACAGTTTATTCTGTGCTTTGTTGCAAAAACTTCAGCTTTTAGAAAGAATGGTTTCTGTCAGAATATTCTAACATCAAACATCAACAAATACATCATCATCTCCCCTGCCTTATCCCTACTACATCAACAAATACATGAACAACCAAAAGTTCAAATAATATGACGTAATCATATGTAGCAATTCCGGTCCACGTGTGATTTTTGGCACAGAAAAAACAGATATCCTGCCAATTATTGCACAATCGATAGAGATAGCAACATACACATGTCATGCGTCCGAAAGAGATGCAATGACGGCACAGACTGAAATAGATCAACTCCTACGCAACGCGGCTACTGTGTCGTTGATCCCGTAGCATCATTGTTTGGCTCTACTCTGGATGTTTGTTTTGAGAGGACCAGCTGTAGACACTTTATTATGAAGTCGATTGGTTTACAAACATCGCATTGTAAATATACTAAATTGAATTATGATACAGGATGCTATACTATAAGTTACATCATACAAAACTTGTGTCATCAATCTGTCTTGTATGATTGATGTATGTCGGATGTCACTGCAATAAACTTATTTGGTGTAACTTGATGACGTCACTGCTTTTACCAGATTTTTACAAGAATAAGCGATATAATATACTACGAAGTGACTAGTAACAAGACAAATAGCATTTATTAAAATTCTCAGCATGTAAAAATGGCCAAAGGTTTTTTTAAAGAATTGAAGCAGAAGCAGAGAACAGATAAATAAAAAGCGATGAGAGTATCTCGTTGCTGCGTAACAATGCAGCTGCTTTTTAGTAATTAATTACATCCCTTTAAAGAAGTACATAAAGAAACTGAATCCTTCAATGGATGCTTTTTAACTAATCTATCCAAAAAGCCGGATTTCTAATTTTTCTAAGTTCTAAGGTCACATAAAATTAGATGTCAATAATTTCGGCATAAATAAAATCTTAATTATATCTACTATATCAAAGTTACTTAGAATTACGTATTTTAAATTCTCCATTGCTGGCTAAACTAGTTCAAAGTAATCCTTCGTCAATGTTCAGAATCGTGTCGAGCTTTCCTCCGGGGAAATCTGAAGCCTTGCAAGGCGCCTTTAAATGATCCGCTTACAAACGAATTTCTTTGAAAATCGGACGAAGAACTTCACGTGTTTTTCAGACATGCAAATAGGCAATTGAACTTTGCAGCTACACGCAAACTTTTTTAGATCTATAATGCTGAAAAGGAAATTTAAAGTGCTTGAAATCTAAAGGCTGAAGATTTAACTGTACAATATGTTCATCACTGAAGATAAAATATGTATTTAGATAAACTATAGAGCACGTGTGACCGACATTAGCCATGTCTGTTAGACAGACGCCACTTGACTTGACCGTTTTAATTGAAAATACGATGCAAGAGGTCTTGCATTCCAGTGTCAGTGATGTAGGCTTTTTAATGTTAAAAATTACATGCATTCTACGGAATCTTAGCCTAAGGGGGTCTTTAACATAATGCTAACTATTTCCCAGACAGATAAGGCGTTTGTCTAATCTATTGTAACCTTTTGCACCATAAACAGCTATCATTTGGATGATTATGTTATCAGCCGATTTTTAATTTCCTCTTTAGTATTGACATCAGACATCTTAAATTTTTGTACTTTTTTTTATAATATAAGGTGGCAAACGAGCAAGCAGACACCTGAATCCGTCAAAATGGCGAAGCGACCGCTGCTCATAGACGACATCCGCAATTGCAGATGTGTTGCCTACCCTTATCCGACGGAGGAGGAGACACACATAAAGAGAATATTTCTCCTTCCTATGCATCCCCTTAATGTCAAATTCTCTCCCCCTTCACATCCTCTCCTTATAAGAAAAGGGTGGTAAGGAAAAAGGGACTTAAATTTTAAAAATTTTAATGTTACTGGCTATCCCTATAGATTAGAATTTAGTGCTTTCTTGTACCATCGGCAAGTTAAAGTCCACTTTCGTTTCAACCGTCATTTCTTACGATGAGTCAGCGATCCAGTTACCCAGCCGAGCGAACTTGCCGTCGTACCTCGACCAATGCAATACGAACTGGAATTCGAATTGTTTTAATGCTGTATAATTTGTTTGAAAACTTGCCAAATGACCATACACAATGATTTGACTCATACAAGAATACAACCTGAAGTTTTGCCCTTACATAACAACTAAGGTATGATAGTTAAATTGAAAATATTACCACTCCTTCGGCAATTAGTAGTAATAATTGTGCATAGCAAATAGATAATTTACCGCCTGTATTTTGTGTTTTGTGAGATTCAGTAAAAAAAAAATTAAAATTGAAACCTATCACGTCAAACAAGGATTTAAAATGTAATAAAATCTGTATATTATAAATTAGAGCCTATCTACCAAAATTCCAATAAAGTTTTTACAAATAAATCTAATAAAAATGCTCAGTCTACGGCACCACTTAGATTCCTGTAATTGCATTGACGCGAACAGGCGTGCCGTGTAAAACCGAGGCTAATAAAAAAAATCAAACTAGATTAAAGAAAAACGTACTCTAACATGAAAGACATAGACTTGAAATCTCTACTACAGCTATCATGAATAAACGTCGATGCACTTTGCACAAAGCCGGTATCGTAATGGCAAATACTGATGAACAGACAAACGATATGGTTAGTTGATCAAGTAATAATGAAAACCAACATAGTATATTAAAACTTTTCTATTAACCTAATTCTAATAAGAAAATACTTCATTACCCTAACACAAACTACAAAACCAAAAACTCTACAAACATCAACAAAGAAAGCAACAGAAAAACAAACAATATCAAGAAAATAGAAACTCTGATACAATTTATCAACGACCTTATCGTGCTAACCGATAAATACAATTAGGACAAACACTGTTCACGAAACGAAAGATTAACTCAACATGCAACAACAGCCTTCGCCGACACAATGCGGCGAAACCGACGACTTAACACAATCGATATAAATACAAAAAACCTCGTTTACGACACGCAATCACATTCCTAATAAACCAAGATAA